AAGAAAATGGGATTTGCTAGCATCCGTTTTAATCTGAGGACTTCATTTTCCAACATAATATTTTTCTCGGCTAAGGCAATATTTTCTTGTCGAAGTGTCTCCATTGCCAATGATTGTTCACCAACTAAAAAACTTCGTCGTTTCAATGCCAAATTGATTCCCTTTGCTCTATTGGCATATGTCAATGTATTTTGAGTATCATCATATGAGAGTGATGATGGACTCACAGTGGCTATCATAGCAGTGCGACAATTTCCACCAAGAGAGTCACTCAGGATCCTAGTTAGCACTGAGCTACGATAAGGGATGTGAAGTTTACGACCTTTACGACATTTTTCAGCCAATGCATTAATACAATTTCCCAATGCTAATAAAGATTTGTTGATGTTTCCACCTTCACGATGCAGAACCTTAGAGCGTTTCTCTTTGTAGGCAATTGAGGCCCTTTCTGATCCTGCCAGATCCACTAAACACATTTTTGTTTCTTGTTGAATCATTTTGTTGCCTTTAGAACACTTCTTTTTGCGTAAGAATAACTGAAACACAACATGGCTTCTGGATGAAGTTTGATTTGCGTCTGTCGCTTGTTGAGCTCTGTAATGATTACCAGTTTCCAGTGTTTCGATCATTTCATCAGCGTTTCTAACTGACTTCACTGTTAATCCGAGGATGTTAACACCACCTTCCATGTTATCAACAACTTTGAGAGTTTGTGAGCTTGGTGTGAGCAAATCATAAATTTTTTCATTGTAAATTTCAAAGTAAGAAGCACTAACTTCAAACTTCTCTTCTGATGGCTTTGTTTCAATGATGTGAAATAATTCCATAGCGGTATAAAACATAACACCAGGTTCTCCATTATATCCTAACATGGTGTAAGTCTTACCAGAACCTGTAGGTCCATACGCAAAAATGGTACAGTTGAAACCATCCAACAAAGACTGGACAAAGCTTTTAACTGCTCTTTCATAGATTTGAATGTTTGTTGTGTGTTCATCAAAAACTCCATCAAAAGAGAAGACCAAATCTTTGCTAGATTTCTTACCAATTTCTTTATACTTTTTACTTTGGTATGGATCATTTGGAGGATCAAATATCAAACTTTGATCATCAACAAGGGCGACAACCTTTCTGGAATTTAATTCTTTCGCACTTTCTGGTCTAACTCGGATGTAAACTTGAATATTTTTTGGTCCAACGTCATCATCATCTCTGACAACTGACTTCAATTTTGCTGGAGGTTCGTGAGAGTTGCTGGAATCACTTAAAGGTCTCTTTATTGAGCCTCGGTTCATCATTATTAAAAAAGTACGATCACTTCACTTTAGACCAATACTGTACAATTTGATTCACTAGTTAAAAATTATGAAACAAAAATAATATAAATTTCACAAAAAGAAACAACAAATTAAATAATAGGATGAAAGCAGTCAAAAAACAAATATTCTCGTCGAGTTTTAACTACATTTTTACAAATACAGTAAAGTAGCCCATAACTTGGTAGAATTTCGTGTTGCGCCACCTATTGGATTAACAATTTCAGAACCATTTTTATCCAATTATTTAATTGTTTGAATTGAAATATCTTAAAATTTAGCCAAAAAAGTTGAATTAGCGAGTTGACTTTACATAAAAATGGTTTACCTGCAGTATAAATCAGCCTATTCTCCTAATAATTAAAATGTCTTTCAATGTAGTCTGAC